AAGGTTATTATTCCTTAAAGTTACAATATACAAATATTAGTAGAATGCTAAGACAGGAGGCACACGAGTAATGATAATATAGATTAAATACAAAAAAGTACAAAAAGGGATAAATCCGCTGACAACGCAGAGATAGAGAGAGAAGGTGAGGGGAAGAAGAGAAGAGAGAATGAAAAAGAGAAGAGCGAAAGGAGTCGCTGTCGTTCATTGAAAGGATTAAAACCCGTGCGCGGCGGGAGCACCGTTCGTTTATTTACCGGCGAGGGTGGAAGGGTCCTTATTCCTTTTTCTTTCTCCTCGCCGTTTCACGGCCGTCTTCGCCCCTGTCTGCCCTCTTCATCCGCCACCCCGTCTCCCTGTTTCCCCTTCGCTTTCCAGCCCCCTTTCGCCGCCCTCTTCGCCGTTCTGTGTTCTCCGGAGAGGCCGCGACCAGCAATCAGCGTAATGCACCCGCAGACACACCCCTAACCACCCTCGCCATCGCACACGCGCTCGCTCGCGCGCCCGCACACAACCCTCCATCACGTAGATGCGTGCACGTGGCCGAGCACACATTCACACATACATAAAGGAGCACACACAGGCACAGGTACGGGGCCACGGCAAACGGCCAGGGTACATACCCCTGGGCCAAAGGCCCCGATAACACGAGAGAGCCTCGGAGTAATGCGGACGCAATGGCAATCTCTTCGAGAGCAACGAAATAGATCGTAGGACGTAGACCGATGGTGTAAAACCATTGCGGCGGTAACCGGCACGTTACCTTCCAACCTCGCAGAGTCTCTGTCTCTCTTCTCTGAGTTTCCGAAACCCTTCACTCTCGGAAATCTCGCCGCGGCCTTCGCCGTGAGTCCGACGGAGTCGAGATAACCCGACGAAGCGACGTAGCCAGCCCGTTCCGCCGAAAAGTTGGTGGAAATTCGTGGCGCGAAGATGCTGCTCGAGTTCTCTGTGTGCCCGGGAAGGGCAGATTTGCAGGATCGTTCGGCATGTGGCTCGTGCGGGGTAAGAGGCTCTCTCTTTCTCATTGCGCATTCGAAAAGTGCCTCGCGCAGCTTGTTATACGTGAGAACGACGGCGGCGGCGATGGTGGTTTCGCGTGTGTTTGAAAAGCCGTTGGGCTGATTTGCGGCGGCTCGGTCGGTTTCTCAGAGTATCGGAAAAGTTAGTATGCGTGCGCCCCTTCATAGACGCGTGCCGCGAAGCGTGTCGGAAGTTCCGGCTATAGCACACGGCTATACCAGTCGGATGTAAATTTCGCGTAACTCCTACCGCGATATATTCGCGAAGGAACGACACATATGGACTCTTTTGCCATAAAAAATAAAACCATTCTCGCAAATCAGCTCTCTCTCTTTCTCTCTCTCTCTCATCTATTATATTTTAACATTGATTGCAATCAGCAGAAAAAGCTGCTTCGCAATTGCTTTGCAAAATTCTTGAATCCGTTTGGTACATTCAGCCAATGCTAAGACTGCACAGCAGTCAAGATTCAAGAATTTTATAACGATTGCAAAACAACTTTCTTCGCTGAACACAGCCATCGAATGATGTGATGCACCGATGACACACGGAAAAGAAAAGATATGGTACACATCACCGAATATTAGTCTGATTGTAGCAAATCGGAGTGGACATGGAGTGACATTCACTCCTATGGATACACTCTGGTTGGAGCAACCAGATATTGTCGCTGTAACTCAGCATTTTTGCTCTGCGGTTGCAGCGACCGCATAATTAGTTGTTCCGCATTTCACTGTTGTATTTGGTCGGCACAACCAGATTTATGTGTGGACAAACCGTGACGTTTTTTCCGCATAATAATAGAAACACATGTTGCCTATATTTTAATTAATTTTTTTATAATTAATTTATTTAATCACTATTATATTTCAGTTAAAAATTTTCCATATTAATTAGAATTATTTAAATTTAAAACGAATAAATGCACATCCATCCCCGCTTCTCTCATCGGAGCGCGCGTACAAAAGGCATTCTTCCGTGAAAACCATTATTTCTGCGCTTGGAAAGAGTCTTTTTGAATTGTTGCAGCAATTATTGGTGACGATATTACGTGACGGTACTACGATAATATTATCGTAAAATAATCGTTGAAACTTTATGCGTTTCGACGATATTTTCCTGGACATGTTGCGCAAGACTAAGCGCGAGCGTCGGTGGACCTTTAACAACAGCGGGGAATGTAAAGGAGAACGATAATTCGAGGACGATACGACGTGAGATATTAACCCGACAATGACCTAAGACGCTAATTCCCGCTGATAGTACACTAGACGTCGCGTTTCACCCCAACAGCCACGAACACCCGAATGCACGCGAGCGAGCGCGCGCGCCAGCAAACTCATTATTCTTCTTGTCCTGAGGGCGCGTATCCCGCGCTCTTCGTCTACGCGCGAATAATCTTCGCCTGGATTTCCCATTGTATTATTGTGTCTGCCACCGGGTGATAAACTGCACATTCCGCAGGGAACACGGCTCCGCTCATTACTAATATAGTCGCGCGACGGCGTCCTGTCGTAGCTAACGGAGCTCTCTCATTGCGTCCCCGGAGGAAGCCCGAAGTTAAGCACTTGTCCGTTTCAAAGCGACCGTCCCCCGCGCGAGAATTCCACCGTCGTAAAAAGAACCCTACCGGATTTCTCGAATCGAGTAGATCACGAGCGGCAAAGCGGTGCCTCTCTTTTTTTTTCGTTCTGGAAATGGCGGCAGATCCTCCAGACAGAGACGGTGGATTGCGGATATCCTGCGGATACCATCGGACAACCACATGAGCCCCTAACGGGCTATCTTTTATCTGTCGCCATTTTAGGGAAAATAGACGTTCGGAGGGAGGAGCGAACGTCGGGAGAACATAAAATTCTCGGGCAAATTAATTGCCCGAGAATAGGTCAGACGACTTATCCAGCGAGGTTATTTCGTTATGTATACGATTAGAATTACGTAACAGCGTAGCCTGCCGTTAAATTTCTGGAACGTACGAGAAATATCGGAATGATAAAGAATGTCTTCATAGTGCATTTTCATAATGCCTCGCCGATATCGGGATAATTTAATGAAAACGACGAAAAGAGAGCAATTGGATGTCGGTATCTTCATTAGCAGTGCACGTAAGCGACATCGCCAATTCAAGACAGTGGACCATTGGCGGATTACGGAAACTCGTTAACCGGCTAATACCTTTAAGCGACGGAGCTTTTTCGCCACGCGTTTTAACGGAGCTATCACAAACATGCAGTACGGTGCCATCCCCGACCGATATACGCCGACTGTATACACGCCTTGCGTAATTGCCGTCGCGATGAAGTATCGCGCGAGACTGAGAGGAAGGAAAGAGAGATCGCGGAGAAGAGAGAGAGAGAGAGAGAGAGAGAGAGAGAGAGGGAGAGAGAGAGAGAGAGAGGGAAATAAATTTATCATTGAGGCAAACGAACACAGAGATCCAATCATAAATAATGCAAAGACTTACAAGTGGTGAAGTAGAATCGACTTTCCCAAACGAACTTGCAATAAACAATAACCACAACAAATGGGAACTACTACAGCAATTTTAATTAAACTTTCGCAAAAAAAGCGAGAAGGAGGCAATAGAGGAAACAAAAAAGTTTTAAGATGACCAGACGAACGGAGAGAGGGGCAGGAGGAAAGAGAGGGTGAGGGCTAAAAGAGAGCACCCCAATGCAGAATCGATCGCTGAATTACGGCCACATTATGACTGCGGGACTTGCTAGGGCCGCACTTTCCTGACGGCAGCGAATTAATCCGCGAGGAAGAGGAGTCGAGCGGCTTCGACAACGACGACGGAGACCGGAAGCCGATGATTCATTTCGGAGGAAGCGCACGGCACAATCGATGGCGTCGACGGCGGAGGAAGGTTGGCCAGGCGGGCGGACGAGAGGATTCCGGTAACGAGAAGCGCGGGCGATCGACGCAATTCCCGGGACGATTAAACGATCGAAAAGATGCTGACGTGCGTGGACCGCTATGTGCGGGAAATTCGCCGGCGAGAATTTCTCCTATTAATCTCGCGGCGCCGGTGTTTTCAATATGCGCCCCCGACGCGACAAACGGCCGCGCGGTCTGGGCGCGCGCGGGCCGTAAATTCTCCCCTTGTGACATATCCCTTATAATATATGTGTAGCGATCTATCGGATCCGCGCGCATCGAGAGAGCAGCAAGATGAATCGAACTTTAAATTTGGAAACTGCCCCCGTTGCTCTCCATTTTTGTTGTAATACTTTGCGCTGCTTTTCGCTCTCTTCTATGGTGAGGGATTGCCGTTTTCGTTGTGCGCGACCGGAATGCTTTCACAATCGGGCAGTCGAGCATTAATCGATTAACACTCAATTTGGCCGAGACAATCGGCGAATCAAAATGAATCAGCCGTCGTGTATGCAATTATGAAGCATTTGATCGATTGATGAAATTTATTATTAATCGGCGTACAATCAGTCAAATCATAATTCCATTAATAATCAATTTCATCAAACGATCGAGTTATTCGTGATTTTATATATGATGATTGATTAATTTCCGTTGACTTGTCGATTCTTTTGGTCAGTTAATATTTTTATCGATTAATGCCCAACGCTGTAAGTAAGTAGAGTGGTAGCACTGGTGTGTGTGTTCTGAATGTTAAAAAACTTTATTTAATCGAATAAAATTTTTATTAACGGTGGAAAAGACATCTCGTTGATAGCGAAAGAGTTAAAAGTGAATCGAGATGATTTATTTCTGTAAATAAACTTTATATTCCACGAATATATAAATTTTCAGGTTTCTTTTTCAGCGTGTGACATATACATATATATACATTGAATATGTATATGTATTCTGTGTTAAACGTTTAAATATTCGTATTTAATAGTCAAGATTGCATTTGAGAATGTCCTCTTTGAGGAAAAATTTACCGTAAACACGATCAGATGTACAGATAGAAAATTGTAACTCGATAACCCGTAAATTCTGCTCCCTTTGTTTAGCCAATAGGTATGCATCTGAAGAAATACGAGTGGGTGGGCTCGCCGGACATCGGCGACTGCTCGTTATGGGTGCGATCCGCCACGCTGGAGTTCGACGACGGACTCTGGCAATGTCAAGTAACCGCGAGCGATTTCACGACGCAGGACGCGTTAGCATCTGAACCGGCGAGGCTGGTCGTCAGAGGTAAGAGCGAATTCCCACGACGCGGAGTCGTCGTTAATTATTTTCGAGGGGAGGAATGCTCGCGCGCATCCGTTTCATATCACGATTCAGCTCCAGATATTCCAGGTGAACGAGGTCGTTCAAGATGGATTAACGGGCTAATGTGGCTCTGTTTACATTGCGCGCGCACTCCGATAATCTCCGGATAATTTACGAGGCTGAGGAAACTGAGTCGCATTCAGCGACCTGAGCTAGCTTATTTTCTCGCTGATAGTTATTGAGATAATTGATATGGAAAGCCGGTGGCATGTCCGTGCGCTTGATGAAACGGCCGATGCGACTGCTACGCGGGGCGCGCAATAATTCGCCTAACTCAATAAATAGTCACGGAAATCTGTCCGTGCGCGCGCCTCTCATTGGACTCTCGTCGTTGTCGTTTGCGTTTCAAATCGTGCCGCCATACGCAATGTTGTCGTGTTTCCCGTCGACAAAATTATGGTGGATTATCGTTTCCCGTCCGGAGATCGTACATTCCGATTACCTTTGTAAAACCCCTTGTAAAACTACCCGGACAACTCTCTCTCTCTCTCTCTCTTTCTCTTCCCTCTCTTTCCCTCCCCCCTTTCTCTCTCTTTCTCTCGATGTTACACTCACTCGATAATCCCGCGACACAATTACCAATGAAACAACAGGATTTGTTGCGGCGCGCCGTGAAAATGGAGCTATACACCGAGAGAATCCCCGTCGTGCGCTTTCTTTCTCTTTTTTCTTCTTTTAATCCTTACGCAGTAATCGGACTGCACACTGCGGCCGCGTGTTAATATCCATAATAGTTGACAATTTGAATTATTTCGATGTTTTGTTCAAATTTGCTTCTCGCGCGACAAAAGGTGAATTAAAGTAAAAATATCAATACCTAGACACGTGCCATTCTGGACATTTTTATTGTTCTGGTCTTTAAACACGAATATTTTTAAAGTTTCAATATGGAATGTATATACCGAGAAGAAATGTTTGAAAATACTAATATATGTTCGGGATATGACGTTTACTTGTGTGAAATAAAGTTTACTTCTGTGAATAAACTTTATATTCCATGAATATATAAATTTTTTTCTTAGTGTGTACATTGAATATGTATATGTATTCCATGTTAAACGTTTAAATATTCGTATTTGAGAACGTCCTTTTTGAGGAAAATTTTACCGAAAATCTGTAGTTTATGTTACATGTGCCGCAAATTTTTAGTAAAACTGTCCCTAGAATAGAAACGTTTTGGAATGTAAAACCAAAATATTAAGCCCTTGTCCACAACCTTGTCTTGTTTTAAGACGTACGCCGTAAGAAATTGACCAACTACAATCGATTGCTCTTCTAAAAATTGACCATGGTTGGTCAACTTCTTATGATTTACGTCTTAAAGCAAGGGCTAAGAATGTCCAGGATTAGGCATTGATGCTTCTACCTTACTCGCGTCGGTTCCCGGACACGGAGGTCCTTCGAGTTTTATCTCGTTCTTTGTTCTCTTTTCTCCTCCGTAAGATCTTTATGGAGCATCTCGTAGAGGTGGCTTCGCGCGCGAGCGAACCGGCATACGGCAGATTAATCCCTGCTAATTTTCTCATTGCAGTCAGCCCTCAGCGACCGCAGATAGAGTACGCCGACCGTCTAATTCTCCCCGGCAGCAACGTGACAGCCCGAGCAGGTGAGATCGCTACGCTCACTTGCAGAGCGCGGTATGGGAATCCTTCGCCTCTAATTAAATGGTTCGTAATTGTTGCACGTAGATTCCGTACTACTTAACTTGTGCGCCGTAGCCGCGCCGAAGCCCTTTGGCGCCGCGATCTCCTGCGCGTCTCGCTCGCTCCTGCGTTCTCTCTTAGCAGACGCGTTCCTACCGTTCATTCGCCCTCGGGCGCAATCATTCGGCGATTTGTGGACGATTTATGAACCTGGAGATCAGATGGAATGTTCCGGCGGGAAGAGGTGAACGTACGATACGCGGCAGTCGCCCGCCTCTTTCGCCTCGATCTTCGCGAGGAGCGTTCCGAAATTTTAACTGCAGCGGAAAGCGTTGAATTTCTAGGCGAGAGCAAGAATCGTCTCGCAGCTCTAATGAAAAACAAGCGCGATCGCGAAGACGCTCTTACGAGTGTCGAGCCGTTTACATAATTCGAAACGATCTTGTATTTTAACGATGACCTCTTGACTACCCAGCTCTCGATTTTTATTCTTTTTATTTGTCGAAAGAGCAATTTGCATGGACCTGTTCCAGATTCGGCGATTAAATGAGCTGCCGCGCGTAACCAAAATACACTCACTAAAATATTTTGCAGTTGCAGCGAGAAATTAGTTGAAATGAGCAAATGACTAGCAAGCATCGCGTATAATTTTGCATTTAATCAATATAGATGACAGAGAGAGACAGAATTTCTATCTGAATCGTTTGTGAAATTTAGCAAGGAAGTCTCTCCGCGCCGTCCATCCAGATTAAAGCTAGTTACATCTCTTATAAAAATTAAATCTGCTCGACAAGAAAAGACCAGAGACAAGAGACAAACGAACGTACTATCCTACCTACATTTGTTAGCAGATATTGCTGAAAGGCTGCTGCTGCTACTGCTGTAAATTCTACGTATACAGACAGTTTTTTAGCGGGCACAAGAAACGGTGATAAATTTTAGTCATGACAATTCGCGTATTCTACCTGGACTAGCCGAAGATTTTTTTGAGTGCTATCGATCCCACGGCCGCCACCGTCGGCGCGCCTCTTCTTCGCCCGCCTTCGCGAGGGCTTGTCCGGCGCTCGAAGATTCCGCTAGGTAATGCATTGAGGACGCTGTCGATAGCGGAACACGCGCCCCATGAATAATCATGATTCGCGTCCTGCCCGAGCGAAGTTAAGGAGCTATACACGATGCATTTCGTGCGACGAGAGAGAAAACGCCGGACGCGGGTGTGTGTCACGCGAAGGGGAGCGCGGCGAAAATTCGAAGGGAAGCACAACCTGCCCGCCCATCCCCGTCTCGCGTTGTTCCGCAAGCGGAAAGAGCTCGCGAGGAACGCGCGTTTAATGGCTTTACGCGACCAAGTAAAAACAACAAGCTGCGCGATTCACACAGTAAAGCGCAATTTCTACCTCTCTTTCTTTTTCTCTTTGCCTCTCTTTCTTTCTCTCTCTCTCGCTCTCTTTCCCTCCGTCTCTCTCTGTCTCTCGTGCTCTCTCGGCTTTAAACCTTGCAATTTTCGGTCAACGAGGCGACGGACGTCCACGAGAGCACGTCGGGACGCCCTTCAAATTGTAGACGAGGTCCCCTGACAAGGCGACCGCTGCCAGCTCTCAGTCCCGCTGCTCTCGCTTACCCCACTTACTCACTGGGAATTATCCTAATTGACACACGCGGCGCAGCGCGAATATGTGTATGCATAAACGTATTAATTATGAGCGACCGGGGAGACCGGAAAGATGGCCGCGCAATCGACAGTGAGTAGTTATCGAGTTCCTGTTCATAAAAACGCAATCGTCAACAGAGCGCGGACTGCCGGCCGCCGATCGTGGATGTGATCCCGAGAGTGTCATCGTTAATTAATCCTTTCCTTGTCGAACTACGAATATGTCGCTCGAAACTTTCGAACACAGAAAAATGTACATTACATTACATTCGAGAATATTTTGTAAGCCTATAAATCTAACAAGAGCTCACGAAGAAAAAGACTTGCTTATATTAACATGAAGTTTGCTTGCAATGAGCGAACCGTTTCAGTTGGAGGAAACTGAATTTCTGGTTCTTATCAAATTTGGGTCATAAGAACCACGAAGATTTCATGTCCTTCAACCACGACACGTTGGTTCGTTCATTAAAACCGAATTTCACAACCAAAGTGTTTTGTCCGTGTTCACTAGAAGCATTAAATTTATTCAATATACATTCTGAATCCTGATAAGTTTAGCATTTCAATTAAGAATATTAAATTAAAACAAGAATACGGTTTGTTTACTACGTAGAACCAACTTTTTCTTTGACGAAGTTTTAAGATATTCTTGTAAAGAGAATAGATTATTCGCTGAGTATATGATAATGAGTTTTTCACAAATTTATGATGAATATATTTTAAGACTATTATTCAGAAAATATTCTTTGCCGAAGATAATTGCTACGCAAGTAGAATTCTCCCTAGCCAAGAATTTTGATTACTAACCTGTTCTTGGCCTGTTCTCCACCAAATTTTTTTCTGTGCACGATTGTGCGCAAATAATTTTCATCGTTCGATTATATATTGCAAAATATTATATTTTTCATTATTCAATATAAAAATAACGTGAAACTCGTATTCTTTTCAGACTTGGGTATTCAAAAAGATGGAATTAAGTAATCGCTTTTCTTAGCGGTAGAAAATGACATTTTTCTGTGCGCGCGACTCCTTCGCCGCGTGAACACTTTGTCATCGTTTGAAATCTTCCGCGTCAATCCACGCAGCGCGACGTACCGGTTAATTGCTTACATTATTTCAGTATTCGAGAAACGCGCGGACGTAAGTTAACAAACTCATTACCTCGGCAGGAAAGCGCGAAGTCGCGAATATTTCTTTCTTTTTCCAGGGAAAACTTAATAAATATGGATAAAGTCTCGGTGGAGTTACACCAAACTTAACGCGCGACTTAACACACGGCTCCGCAGTGTGCTGATTTAAACGGTTCTCACGTTAGAAAAGCTGAAATGCTCGCGATTTACGCGGAGCGCCACGGCTGCTCTTTACCAGTAATTACGTCTCGCTACCGCGAACCGTCGACTGATCACGCTCGGAAGACTCGGTTCAATTAAGTTCGCTCAGTGACATATCGGTTTCGGTTTCCTCGTTGCCGCGATACGAATGTATCCCATCCCTTCTGTTTGCGAGATACCGATTCGTTCGGGAATCCGTCGGATATGTAATACGTATCATCCCCGTATCATCATTCACATCAGCCTGTCCATAATAACTGAACAACAGCAGGCTTAATTCGCGGCAGCGCTGCCGTTTAGCCTCGCTCGCGAAATTCCGGGACTCGCGAAGAATGAATCTCGGCGAAAACGACAGAGAGAGAAAGAGAGAAAGAGAGAGAGAGAAAGAGAGAGAGAGAGAGAGAGTTAGAAGGGACTAAACGAGAGATAGAGAGAAAAAAAGAGGGCAATGTTAAAACGCCGATGGGGGCGAGATAGAGCTAGTCGCGCGGCTCGAAGAAGACGATGAAGGGGAAACAGGAAAAGGAAGAGGAGGAGAAGGAAGGTGGTAGTGGTGTTGAAGGGAAGCGAGTAAGAGTTGTTGCAGAACGGCCATTGGAAATGCAAATTTTCCGGGCGATGCAGGTACGTGGGCGAGACCGAGATGAGGACGCTGCGGCCGCAGGTAAACACGACTGAGGTAGATAATCCGCGCACTTGGGCGACCTACAGTGTTTGCGAGATTCTGGCCGAGCGATCACGTTACGGCCAGCCGATCAGATGCGTCGCCATCCATCCAGCGTACGCCAATCCCACTATGTCCTCCAGCACTGAAGTGAGGTTCGACGTGCGATGTGAGTACACGTGATCTTCTTGTAGAGTTTCCTTGATCGACCGATTAGATTCACATCTTGTGCGGAAAGCTCCTTCCATCTGTGTATGTGTGTGCATGTGTCTGTATGTGCGTGTGAGTGCGAGTGTATCAGCGGAGCTTTACAAACGGAGGTTTACGAAGTTTCAAACGCAAGCGGAGAAGAAGACCATATGCATGTGTACGCGGCGAGTAGAAAGAGATATTCGCACACCTTCTTGGGGCGAGTTTGCACGAAGAAAGTATGGCCGCGAAGTTATCTGTTGGAATATTTCATTGATACATCGAGCAAAAGATCCTATCATGGCGATACTCTTCCTTTTTCTTTTTCACGTGGGATTATCTCGTGAAAGTTGACGCGTGCAGATGTTTCTTTAACGGGCGCGTCTTTTCAGAGACCGCGTCTTCGGCCCCGTGCTTTTCCCCGCGTAAGACGCTTTACGGTACACTTATACCACGCTGCCCCACTAACATGTAATTTTGATGAGAGCCGTAATGCCTAGCGACACGCGATGTAAGTAGACTCTTTAATGAAGCCATAGTTGGCGAACTCGTCCTTCAGAGCCCGACGCAGAAAGTAGGACTCCGTAGGAGATCGCCTGATGCCTTCGCCGCGAAGTTTGCGTCTGAATACAGACGAGTTTGTAATTGATTACGAACGGTGACAGGGATCGTTGTCCCGATGAATTATAATGGCTTATTATCATAAGTCTCCCTGTGACGGACGCCGCCGTTAATACGAGAATTTATCCATACGGAATTCACGCGGAGATAACGCGCAAGCGACGCGCGATAATTTGATCCTCCGCGAAACGGCGCACAGAGAGGACGAGAAGGGGGAAAGAGAGAGAGAGAGAGAGAGAGAGAGAGAGAGAGAGAGAAAAGAGAATTATAGGACACGTAATTAGCAATAATCGCGTTTTTGATATCGCGAAAAGCTCGTACTCTGAATGGTATACAATAATTTGCGCGAGAGAGATCGCCGCGCTGAATTCCGTCAAATATTCCGTCTGTATTGAAGTGCCCGGTGATTTTTACGCTAAATGTGACATCGATATTCAATCAGCACGTGCATTCCTATTATTATCGTTGTAAACGGACGCGATTCACGTTGAATAAGCGATACCGTGCGCGTGCTTTTAAAACATACAAAAGCGCGTCGCGCTGTAATAAACACTTTTTTCGCGAGGTAAAATGAAACGCCGGCCGATTATACAGACGTCCGTGGGTAAAGTTGCTTTTGTTTGAAGGAGACCTCGAAATAAAACGCGCGCAAAAGAAAACCCGGCCGGTAGGTCGGGATTAAGGTCGCGTCTCTCTCTCTCTCTCTCTCTCTCTCTCTCTCTCTCTCTCTCTCTCTCTTCCGTTTTTTCTTCTTCCTTTTTCTTCTGTCTCTTTTTTTTTTATATAGCCACGCTGGCCATCAAGTATGTTGTATGCATAATGGAAACGGCGGAAGGAGAGAAGGGGCAGAGAGAAAATATACGACACTGCGGAACTTCCCTTCCTTCTCGGCCGCCATCTGCACGCGTAGAAATATATTTCCCGCTCATAATGAAAAACTTTCCCTCGGATATCCCGGCCGATGTCGCGCGCCGTATTGTATTTAGCTGGCGTAATCGGTATCTCCGACGCGCTCGCGGCATGTCTGCACCGAGCTTCGCGTCGAATTGCAGCAATTGAGCAACGAACACAATGTTTTAACGTTTCTCAAACGGAAGGCAGACTTCCTTCATAACGCGAAACTGAGGTTTCGACTATCACTAATCTCTGAAAGGCAGGAAGAGAGAGGGCGAGAAAGAGAGATTCTCCCGATATTTCGTGCGTCAATTTGTAACTGCCCGAGCAGAAATTTTGGTCCTACTAATTCGGACTTCAATATTCCATCTAACATCTATTTTGATACTCTGACGCCTACATCGACCTCTTTTGATTCCATCTAGATTCACTACAACTGTGCCGGAAAATCCTCTGTAGAACCCACAAGTAGCATTTTGTACGTTTTCTGTGCAGGTGGAAAGTAAGGGCTAAAATTTCGGCTGATTTGTCCGTATTATTTTTGAACAATACGCGTTATTATCGCGAAACACGACGTGCTTCGCGACACACAAAGTGAAGGAAAGCGAACGCGACGTGCGTGTATTCACTTTCCATACGATTCAGGCAGGGTTGTTGCGATTGCACGCTATCGGTGTCCCCTTCGGATCATATTATGGGCCGTTGTTATCCGCGCAAAAATCCACTCTGGGCAAAAAGTCGAGCGGTCGCGGTGCACGCTCTCTCCACGCAAATTACGGAAAGACAATCCGCCGCGGTGAAATGCGCGGCCGGTCGTGAAAAACGCGCCGGCGACAAAAAAAAAACATCACGAGCGCGCGGCGTGTCCGTATAACACACTGACCTCAAACCGTTCTGCATCCCCGACCATCCCCAACGATGCACCGATTTACCCTGATATGCACACACACACACACACACACACACGCGCGCGTACGCGCGCACGCGTACGTATACACGCGCGTGGCATGAAATCATGAGTTCTCTCGTTCACTGCTCCCATCCTCCTTCCCTCCCCCCTCTCTCACTCTCTCTCTCTCTCTCATCAATCTCCCTCAAATCGGTACGTCCGGATGTCATGCGTTTTAACCTTATCGACAATTCGATGGCCGACCGAGCGACCATCCAGGCAGATTTTCACGCTTTTTGCGAAACCGTGCTGCGGCGGGCAGCGGCCAATCAGTATCGATTTCAAGCCTCAACCGCCGTGCATTCGAACCGCAGTTAGCACAAATAAGGTTGTCGTGAAATAATGCGGTTCCCCCGCGCGCGTCGTCACGTCAACTTTCCGCGCCATTATTCCGCGATTGTTCAGTCGTCGCTAGTCGTCGCTCGCATAGGATCGGCTAGTCTCAATAACAGACGATTGTCCGAGGAATTAGCTGCCGGGCGAAAAATATACGCGTCGACATCTCGCGCCGGTGTCGCATTGGCGTTAATATGCAATTAAAATATACCGCCAAGTTGTAATCGCGTAAAGGAAATTTGCGATTCGTAAAGGGAATTCGTACGATTCGGACGTGCACTCTCGCTCACTCGTCCGCAATCGAAACGGCTGTTAAATCCAGTATTATGTAACATTAATTAGCCAACAGTTTCGATAGGATCGTATGAGGTAATTAATACGCCGGTTGGATCTCGTGTGCGCGCGTTCCACCTTCCCCATACCACGAATTAATTTGGCCGGGCGAAATGAAAAAGCATCGCGCGACGGTATGTATGCGCAGGTACGCCGGCGTTGGATTAAAAGGTGCTCTCTCTCTCTCTCTCGCGCGCGCGCGCGTCCTTCCCCGTAAAAATTCCCACCATCGCGAATAAATTGCCGGGGCTGCCGCTAAATAAAGCCGCACGCGCGCGCTCACCTATCGACGAGCGAAAATTAGACCTCGCGGGATTAACACAACGTTTCCGTCGATCTTCCGAGAGTCACGAGGCGACCGAGCCTTTTTTGCACTCCTCTCCCCCTCTTTTGCTTCTTCTTTTTCCCGCGTAACGAATGGCAGACAAAGCGCGGGACACGTGAAATCACAAAGAACCTCCTGTAGAACGCGTGTTACGATAATACTCAGCATTATACGATTGTTGTACAATTGATCTTTCAAATGTGCCTTTTGCATGCACCACTACGCAATATTAATCACGTTATATTAATAGCGCGTGATAAATTTCCGATGCGAACGTCCCGGATAATTCGCCAATTCCCATACACACCGATCACGCGATTTCCTCGCAGCTCGCAATTTCATTGGGGCGATCTGAAATACGCGTCATCCACCCTCCTCGCGTTGTCGAGCGTTCCGCGGAGTTGCGCGCGCTCCAGCCAAGTATGTAATTGCGATCGCGTGGCGAACGTCAAAAATTGATTCGCCCGCGTTACCATTTCCTAATGCTGTCCCCGGCATCACCGTGTCGCTCCTTCCCCGGATTCCCGCCATGATCCAATTCCAACGTAATTTATAATTCTCGCTATACAGATTCGATCTTGCATCTCGCCGTGAGCCTCCCTCGGGGATACCTTTGTGCACCCGGAGTTCCTCCAGTAGAAGTTAAGACACCGTCCGCCATTTGTAGGGAAGAAGTGAGTGCGTCAGAAAGAGAAGCTGCAGCGTATTTCGTCATTTCGGTCTTGGAGCGCTTCTGTCACTCCTATCAGAGAGTTTCTCTCCCACTCCTATTTGCTTCTTCCCTATTAATGACAGGGAATTAATGATAGGGCCAGTCAAGAATCATTTCACGTGGTGTCCTGACCCTTAAGGAGAATTCACATTTCGGCAGAAAGGTAGAAACCAATCAGAACACGCGCTAGAAAAGCAGAAACTGTCGATTACCACCTGACTACCAACACAATTGGCTTCTGCTTTTCTGTTTCCTACTTTTCTGCAAAGGTGTGAATGCGTCATAGGAAGAATTCACATCTTGGAAGGAGAAAAACAGAAGACAGAAAGGTAGAAGCCAATCGGGACTCACGCTGGGGATCGAGTGGTAATCGACAGTTTCTGATGCTCCGCCAGCCTTTTCTTCAGTCTTTCTGCTTTTCTGTCAAGGTGTGTACTCATCTGCTCGCTCGCCCGTCCGGGGAGCGAGCACGTTCGCGCACCGCCTGCACACGCATACGCACACGGGGTGTATTGATTACGAGCATTAGCTCGTCGGGAGTACAGGCGAGGGAACGAGGGACGGGAGAGAGAGAGAGAGAGAGAGAGAGAGAGAGAGAGAGAGAGAGAGAGAGAAAGAGCGGGACTTTTCAGCGCAAATTGAAAAGTTCGCCTCAAAGCGCCGATATATTCCGATGCCGCGGATGCCACGTGTGCCTCGATCGCGAAATGCCGCCCGGGGATTCCGACCAGCCAGGGATTTACCCTCGCTAACGAGAGGGTGCATTCTGCCCGCGGAGTTTTCCGAGAGCGCGCCGCGATACGAATGGGT